AGGTACCATGGAGAGTAAGGATTAAGGTGAAAAATCAGGAGTCACTTGAGACCTTCACAGGTTTGACAGATGGAAGGATCTGTCAATTTTTGTTCTCTCAGTTCCTCATTTCCCCCCTATCTTAAATTCAGTTCTTCACATTTTGCAGCCATTTGCATTAAAAAAAAAGCTTCTTGAAGATATATCAGCATTTTAGTGTGAATTTCTCCTCATAAACTTTTCTGTTTGCTATCTTGACCAGTGAACAAATTTTTGCAAGCAACTTTCACAAATACAATGCAATTTGGTATGCTATTTTCATGAATACCATCATTTTTTTGCATTCTTACCTTAACATGTGCATTTTTGTAAACATTATTTCATGGGAGAAGTGCATTGCAAAATTTGGAAATGAGCAAATTTCAAAAGATAGCGTTGTTTTGGTTCACACATTTTTTTCAGAAATTGCAAGTTTTTATCCCTCCAGGCCTTTGATAATTTGGACAGTATTTTATCCATACATCCAGTGCTTTTTTTCTTAAAAAAATGTTTAGAGGTACTCTCATTTTCCTACTCATATTGAAATACTGCCCCTCAATGAGGCCAAACTTAGATTCACAAAATGTTTAGGGGTATGCGTACCCCTGTGTCCCCCCAGAAAAAAAGTACTGCATACAACCATACAACATACATAATTCTGTTTGTATGTTGCCTGTCCACAGTTCAAACTATGCTCAAGGTGATTTACAACATGAAAAAAATACATAACTACAACATAGAAAGTGGTCATAAACAATAAACTGAACATTAAATAATACAAAACCAAACGGAACATTTCCCACATAAATCACAACAAAAAACCAATGGCAACACCAGCCCAATCAGGGTTTTTTTTTTAGCCGGAACTCAGTTCTGGCGCCTCTCAGATGGGCACCATTGCCATTGTAAGAGAACAAGGGAGCAGGGGTGGAGGAAGGGGGTGCGGTGGGGGTGGTACACCCCGGGTGTCACCACTGGGGGGGTGACAAAATGCCAGGTGGCACTCACTGCGGCACCTGCAGCACGCTCAAGCCACGCATCTCTCCTGGGAGACACGCGGTGTGCATGCACAGACTCCACGCTGCCCAAACGGTCCGCCTGCTGCCTCCCCCCCAGCTGTAGGACAGCTGAGTTGGAGGAGGCAGGCAGACTCCGGAGGCCCCACAGTGCACCCTGCCCCTATAGGAGGCTCACCCCGCCCTTGGGCGCCCCGCCCCAGGCGCTTGAGCGGCTTCCTCCTCCACTGAGCATAATACTAGGAGTATCGACTCAGAAATAAACCTCACTGAGTTCAATCCATTTCCCCCCATTTCCCCCGCTGCAAGGGAGGCCTTCATGATGAGTTGCGGCACCTCTTTTCCCTAGAAAAATAGCACTGTGCCCAACAAACAAACTCCCCCAAACAATACTGTGGCCCATAGTCTTGGTTTCTGTAACTGGAGTCAGTCAGGGCCCTGTCCTCCCAGAATAGCAGTTTGCACACCCCACTAAGAAAGATAATAACACAATGACATTCAAAAGGGTAACAATTGATAGCACATTTGTTCAAAATCCCATTTAAAGCTGTTTAGTCCAATTCATTCAACTACAGCAGATTAACTTGATACAGTGATACCAGTTTTTTCAAATTCTGAGGGTCATTTAGACTTCCAGTACTTCCCATTTCCACCCCCTTGCCTCTTAGTGCCCCCCCCCCAGTAATCCCCTGGCAGGTGGTACTGTCCAATTGGCTCTAAAGGATTGTGGAAATGTGAAGGATTGCCAAGTGCCCACACATCTCTCTCTCTCAGTACTAATATGCATTCATTAGAGTCCCAATCTCTGGCTATCTTTCCACTCATAATACCTATATAAGGAGCTTCCCTGGGGTTAAGCTAATATGCTTCCTGATTCCTTAATTGCTTTGACACTGAGAATCAAAGATCATGGAGATGGTTATAATAAAAATAATAATAAACCAATCTCCAACCTATTACGAAAGGTGTGAGCACCGAATCTTAAGTGTTTTGTTGCTTTGCTGTTCTTCTCTCTCTCTTTCTTTTCTTTCGTTGAGGTAGCAGCACCAGGAATTATCTCTCGAATCAGATGAGCTGAAACTTTGAGTCATAAACTGCATCCGTGTTATCTTTTCAGCTGCCGTTCAAATTGAATAATTTCACACTTCCCTCGTAAACACAAGTCAGGGGTGAATCTCTGCGCAGAGCTAATCTAAACCAAATGAGGTAATTACTCCGAAAGACAATTCAGTGTTGCAGGGCTGTTTTTAATCTTAAAGAGCTAATATGGAAGTTTATGAAGCTGCAGGTGGAAACAAAGGATTTTTTTAAAAGCGACTGAGAAGAACAACAGGACTGGATCAGCCATGATGCTAAATATGCAATAATGCAAACTGTGTAGCAATGCACTTATCACAGAATGCAGGAATCACAGCTGTTGTGCTCGAATCCTGCTTGTGCGCTTCCCTTGGGTCATCTGGTTGGCCACTGAAAGAAGAGGACACTCAACCAGATCAGCTCCTGGCCTGATCCAGCAAGATCTTCTTATGTTCTTCTGAGAAATGCTGCATGTCCTTGATCACAGCAGTTTATATTTGTGTGTCTCTCAGCTTTCCTTTAGTAATTCCACTGACCATATTGGTATTCAGTAGGGGAAGATAGGTTCACAGAGATGTGGGCCATTGTTATAAAATGGGGGTGGAGTTTCTGTGGTCCTCCAGATGTTAGACAATTCACCATGTTGGCTGGGGCTGATGGAACTTCGAGTAAAACAAGATCAGGAGGGCTACAAGTTTCACATCCCAGTTGTAAAAGATGAATCCATGCAATTTCCCAGTTTGATGTTATAGCATTTATTGAGTGGCAGCGAGAGAGGGAATGAGATTTTCCAAATCTTGCAAAAATAAGATTTAGAAAGAGAAGAACCCAGAATGGAATGCAGATGGTAATAGTAGTTTGGGTTTTCTGCAAACCCATGTATTGTTCTTTTTTTAACAGTCTGCACAAACTATTGAGTTTGAGGTTGAGACTTTTTGAATTAAATCTGGATATTTAGCCTTTCTTTTGTCCCTAACGTACATCTAAAAACTGCAGTGAGCATGAAGTGCAAATCTCAGTGGCTTCCAGCAAGACTCAGTTTTATAGGTTTCTCACATGCAGGCCAGGCACTCAGAAACACAAGATCTGACTGGCTAAGTTATAATGAGCAAAGGAAAGCCAACTGACTCCTTGAAGAGGGAGGTCAGGATCACACTACTTTCCATCCATTGCTCTGCTCTCTGCAGGTCTGTCTCCATAGGTGACTGCTTAAACTCTCTGATTAAGAACTTGGGTTTAGCAGGTTCTCTGTTGTTCCTTGCTAAACACAGCAAGAGTACGGGCTGTTTTCAGCTACAGCTACAACAATAGCAACAGCAGGAGGACAGGCGATAGAGAGATCAGAGAAGTGAAAAAGGTGTGTGTGTGAGCAGGGATGTGAGGGGAGAGAACAGCAGAAAGACATAGAGAAATGGGTTGAACTCAGTGAGGCTTATTTCTCAGTAGCTATTCCTAGTACAGTGGTACCTCGGTTTAAGAACAGTCTGGTTTAAGAATGATTTGGTTTACAAACTCCGCAAAACCGGAAATAGTGTCCCGGTTTGAGAACTTTACCTCGGTCTAAGAACAGAATCCAAGGCCTCATTCAGGAAAGCACGCCTCTGTTTAAGAACGGTTTTGGTTTAAGAACAGACTTCCAGAACGGATTAAGTTCATAAACCGAGGTACCACTGTATTGCGCTGCAACTGACAACGCAAGGTAAACATTCCAGGCCAAGTTCATTTCACAGAAAATGCAAGATAGATTTACTGTTGCTGTTCTAAAACTACTTATTTTAGAATAGTGCAGGTGCTAACGAGGTGCAAATTTGTCAATGTAAGTTTTTCCCCAGTCTTAAATTCAGTTCTACACATTTGCACCAGTGTTTTAGTGGGATTTTTTTCCTACTATACACATTTTTATATGCTTAAGATACAGATTTTCCACAGATAGTGCATATGTATATATAAACATATGTGCTATATTTTAGGCTTTTCTGTTCTTGTTTTTGCACCTGTTTGTAAATGCTTTTTGTAACTCACTTTGAGGGTCCCCCCCCCAAAAAAAAGTGAATTATTAACAACAACCAAAACACCACCTACCTCTTTAAACTCCAGGCTTAGCACAGATATCTTATAAGAATGTAAGAGCATAAGAAGTGGTCTGCTGGATCAGGTCAGTAGCCCATCTAGTCCAGCATCCTGTTCTCACAGTGGCCAACCAGAAACCTGTGGGTAGCCCACAATGAAGACCTGAACACAACAGGACTCTCCCCTCCTGTGGCTTGTAGCAACTGGTATTCAGAAGCTTTACTGCAGAGCATAGCCACCTCTCCAAAGTGAACACAGTTTCACACAGCCGCTACCCCCAGAAGGCAAGTATTCACTTGCAAGAATAACAGAGACAAGATGAATATGTGAATTATTTGAAAAGCAATTGTAATCAATAGACTACACTAGTAGGATTGCAAGAAGGTTGGTAAGGAGGACTATGCGAAATATTGCAGAGAAGATTATGAAGAGAGTTACTAGTTAAAGACAATTAAAAACAATAGAGAAATTAAGAAATGTAGATTAAGTGATAAAGATTGAAAAATCTTCAGATGCGGTTGATGGAAGTCCAAAATATTGTATAAGACAAAAAAATATGTTATATGATTGTTGGAAATGATATGTTAAAAATTAATAAATATATATATATGGGGGGGGAGAATATTGACTTTTTGGTGATGCATTTTACTGCAGAATGGCATTCTTCTAGTTCCTGGTTCTTCCCTCCCTGGTACCCTTCCCCTGAAAGAATCTACATTAACATTTGCCTCCTTGCATCACCTTCTGTTTCCCTATGACACTTTTTTGGGGGGGAGGGGTCACTTTGCCACTCCTCTGTGCATTGGCTACCTCCCTCAAGTTTAATGAGCTCAGTTGGTAGAGCATGAGGCTCTTAATCTCTGGGTCATGGGTTCGAACCCCACATTGAGCAAAAGGTTCCTGCATTGCTGGGGGTTGGAGTAGATGACCTCCACAGTCCCTTCCAGTTCTACAATTTTGTGTTTCAGCAAACAAGTGCTTGAGTTGTTGGCACGCTAGAAAAATGCCCTGGGAAAGAAAAATATATGGGAGTAGCGCAGAGGATACAACCTCCTACTTGGTTGCTTGAATTTCCAGTGCTGATATATAAGCTATGGCAAACATGGAGATATTTCTCCAGCCTTTCCAGTAAGGAGGCAATATTTCTGCTTCTACAATTCGAAGGATCTCAAGGGTCAGGAATAGACTAACATAAATTGGGGAGGGCAGTTCTCAAGCAAATTCTCCTTGCTCAGTGTTCAAATATTAGGCTCTCCTAATGCAATGTTTTTGAACATTACTAATGACGAGGGATGGCATGAATATATATAATTTCCCTCAGGCAGAATGAACTTTCTGAAAAGATCATGGGGGAGTGGGAGGGGAGAGTCAGAAGTTTCTCAGAAATTTCCAGGGGAGGGTTGCCAATTACTTCACATCACAAGTTGGCCAAGGGTCTTCTAAGTTTCCTGTCTTGCTTTCATAATCACTTATTTTTTTTAAAGGATGCTACTGCTGAAGGATCTTCTCCATAGTCTCCCTCTGATGGCACTTCCTTAGGAGCAAGGCCATGTCACATCATATTGTGACACTTCCAAGGCTCTCCAGGAAGTGCAGTCAGTGAAGCAGCAGGAGGCTCTCTTCACTGTTTCTCACCAGACCATGCTTCCAGGTGAGCTCCAGTAGGAAAAGTGGCAGCTCCTTAAAGAAAACATTGAGATATATCTCCTCTCACCAAGCAAGCAGCAGGAAATTAATCCCTGTTTTCTCTGGAATATATGCATGGCAGTTTGGCCCTCAAATATTATTGATGGATCTGCAAAACAAAGGATGCTTCTGGATGTGCAAGTTGATTAAGAAATAATCTAATCAAGCGTGTGATGTGCAAACATGATCTACATCTGTATTATACTGCTTAAAGAGAAGCTATGCTTTTCAGTAGGGAATATGATGCACAATTATGTAGGTAGCAAGATAATTAAGCCAACTGTGGGTAATAACATGCATGCAATGCACACAAAGGATGTTCATCTGCATTGCAAAAATTGCCCACCTGCTCCTGCATGTCTTGATCATGCAACCCAATAGACGAGAAAGGGCAAGTTTCACATGAAGTATGCATACTGATGAATTTAGGATTATTATTATTATTGCAAAAACAAAACATCACCATGGTTGTTGCTTTTTAATGCGGACAATAATATTCAACGTAGTTGTCTTAAGACTTACACTATACCTTTCAAGGTCCAACATAAAAAGCAAAAGGTGTTTTTGTTGTTGTTGTTGCCCCAGCCGCTCTTGGTAGCTTTCAACAAATTAAAACATCAAACACTGATATGCATTTGCATTGTTTTTCTTTAAAGTTGGTCAAAATGGCATTCCAGCTCTAATCCTGGTTGTCTGAATGTGGCTAACAGTGGGAGACTTCCCCTCTGCCTGGGACAATCTGAACGTGGTTTGCAGGAGCTGGGAACATAGATGAGGAGAGAGTAAATAACTGAGCAATGAGAAAATAGATTCATTCATTTGTGCTTTGGATTAGAGATATGCACTTCTTTAAGATGCAGCCAGGGCTGGCATAAAGGCTTAGCATGTTTGGGCATCTGTTGAAGGCTCACAATCCAGCAGGCGACCCACTAACAAGAGACCGCTGGACCTGCTTCTCCTCTTCATCATGGTAACCTGCTTGCTTGCTTGTTCACTCACCTCTTGCTCTCCTCATCAGGCCACAGTGAAGATGAGGAAGAGAAGCCATTACTTGCTTGACCTTAGCCTCTCTCCTATGGTAGAGAGGGTGTGTGTCCTGAGGATAGTCCCAAGGACTGAACAGAGAGATCTGGAGGGCCAGATTTTCCCCATTCCTGATTTATATCCAGGCCAGGTGAAGAGAGGCCAATTCACTTCCTTAGGGTGGAAACATAAGTGTCATTCTGAAGATGCCCTCTATGCATTTATCCAGTGTTCGGAGGGAGAAGTGGAACAGCTGTTCCACATCTGTGTGGCTAACTATATGAAAGGGGAAGCTTATGCTTGTAAGCCAGGAGTGCAGTGTCTCCCCTTTTCAGACACTCTGCTTTAGAGATGGAGATGAGAGACAGAGTCCCTGTCCACTGTTTGCACATTGATAGGTACATGGGAGTTCTCTAATGAACAACCCTATGTTGGGACCCAGGAGGACAGCACCACCCACTCCACCCTCAATTCTGTAGTCTCAAAAAACTTGCCACCAGAACAGGAAGTCCCTGATTTGAGTTCCACCTGGATCCTGAAATGCAGTGGTGTGTGTGAACCCAGTCTTTTGAGTAGCACTAGAAGAAGGGATGGGACGCGGGTGGCGCTATGGTCTAAACCACAGAACCTAGGGCTTGCTGATCAGAAGGTCAGCGGTTTGAATCCCCGCGATGGGGTGAGCTCCCGTTGCTCGGTCCCTGCTCCTGCCAACCTAGCAGTTCAAAAGCACATCGAAGTGCAAGTAGATAAATAGGTACCGCTCCGGTGGGAAGGTAAACGGCATTTCCATGAGCTGCTCTGGTTCGCCAGAAGTGGCTTAGTCATGCTGGCCACATGACCTGGAAGCTGTACGCTGGCTCCCTCGGCCAGTAAAGCGAGATGAGCGCCGCAACCCCAGAGTCGGCCACGACTGGACCTAACGGTCAGGGGTCCCTTTACCTTTAGAAGAAGGGATGCATTCTTCAGAAAATATCAATATGTGAACCATGAAGGACCTATGATATCCATCATCGGTTCTTTAAACCTATGCAGAATGGCAAACAAAAATGTGAAAATGCAGCCCTGGTCTTTCCTATTGTCCTGGTGGGTTTTTAAAGCGTAGCCTTCTCTTGCTCTGCATTTATAGCTGTAGTACCTGCATACACACACACACACACACACACACACACACACACACACACAGTCCACTCTATGAGTATCCATCTTTTTATAGCAATAGGCTCTCCAGGTTGTAAATATTGCACTAGTATATGTTTTATTTTACATACCTGGATTCCTCTTCCCTGCCTACTTTATGCTTCCTCCTTCTGCTAGTAAATCCACAGAAGCCAATCGCCTGATGCAGGCTGTAAAATACATTTGTCTTCCATACAGTTCAGGAAAGCTACCTCAGGAACACCACGTAAAAACATGCATTATATAGTATTGTGCTTTATCAACAAATAGTGCATTACTGGTTGTATTCGTTGAGAGATAGATTGCAACTTTGCAACGATGGGCCCTTGAGAAGATTTAAGGGGCCTAAGGGAGGCACCTATCCTGAAGAGCTCTGTTTCCTCTTCTCCCGAGGAGAAGGGTAGGATCAGGGTAAGATCTTCTCAAAGGAGGCCCAAGGCATTTTGGTACCTAAAGCAGACAATCGCAATAATGCCCCCTCCACCAGAGGTGCTGACTTGGGCCCCAAACTATGGGTGTCCAGCAGGGTGCTCACAATGAGATGTCATGATGCCATGGCACATTGCGCATGTGCATCGCTGCCCTCCGGCGTGGTGGCGGCGACTGGATTGGGCACTCCGCCTCCATTGCAGGGCCTCTGTTGTGAACCACCAGAACCACAAATGCACCCCAGAAGCATTTATGTGGCCACAGTGGGTCCCAACAGAGGCCCCACAGAGCAGGAGGCCCTGGCCCAGTCACTACTGCAGTGCCAGAGAGTTGGAGGTAAGGTGGCAGCAGCGGTGGGTGGAGGCCAGACACCCACAGTGAAAATTTGCGAGTGCCCAGGCACCCAGGGCATCCTGCAGATGGCACCAGTGCCGTCCCCTAGTTGGTTGACAATGGAAGAGGGTGCCTTCTGGGGTGAAGTCAAACTGTTGGAGAGTAGGAGCACCTGCTGTGGCTATAGAGACCGAAACAGGACAGACATGTTTTGTTGCAGCTGAGGCATATGAAGGCATCTGGTTGTGCTGATGCAAATGCACCATGGTATTTCTTCTCTCCCCCCTTGGTGGTGGCAATAATAATAGAAAATAAATGGAAATAATTAGCATTTCCCTGTCCTCTAAAGTTCTTCAAAATCTGCTGATTGAGATGTGCCTGTTTAGTGCTAGGGCTGGCCTGTTCTTATATTCACCAGAAATGAACAAAGCACACCTGAAATGATAAAGTTCTTGTTGCCCAGAAGGTTGGGGAACCAATGACCTCCAATGAAGATCCATAAAGTTGACTTTGCATGGCACAAATGGCTTGGGCTCAACACTTTTGGTGGACAAAGGAAATAGGCTCCAGAATGGAGGTTTGTACTTGTGTCTGTGTCCATGTATTCCTTGAGGTTGATTCACATTCACTTTGCATCCTTGGCATTTCCATGAGGGAAGCAAACTCTACCGAAGAGCATGAATTTTGGATGATGCCGTGTCCATCAAAGCTTTGCAGAACCGCCATAACATGAAATTTTAAATTGGCCAGGGACTTTGAAAATGTGTTTAACAAACCTTGCTGAATGTTTTGGCATGCCTGGCCTGATTCGTGAAATTGTAACAGTCCATAGAATCAGGCAGGTCTCATTATTTCTGGGCAACTCATCTAATGCAAAGCATGAACCAGAAGGTGTATCTGCACCGCTTAAGTCACAGAACAAGACTTCCCCATGCTTAGCAATGGAAACACACGGAACCAAATGATGCCCTCCACCCCAAAGCCTGCAGCCGACGTGTTGGAAGATGGCGGTGCAGAAAGCAATAATGGAACAGTATAACCCCAAGGGAAAGCTTCACATAGATGTAAAGCCATAGCCAACTTTGGAATAGTTATTCTTTGCTGTTACTTTCTGAGCAGACTTATAGCCATGTGAGACTTTTGTGTGTCCTGAATCTGAGGGTGGCTTCAGAAGATAACAGGAAATGTTTGATGACGTACAAGTTATGGGAACTTTGGATTGTATCCCTTGTTAGTCTTGTTGAA